TTTTTTTTTTTTTTTTTTTTTTTAATCTCTTCTGATTTTCCATTTGGGCAAGAGTCAGGAAAGGAAGGATTGCTAAAAGCAAAGTAAAAAGTGGGCTTCCTCCTGGACTGTATCCCCACCTCTTTTGGAAGAGGTCACTTACTGGCCTCTGTGTGGTCAAATCCTGTCTGATTGCCTCTTGTCCTGTGTGTCTTTGGAGATGAGCAGAGACTGCAGAGCCAGGTACCACTTGTAATGTGACACCAGACCAGTCATTCAAGGCTTTGTGAGATATCTTTGGGCCATGAGTATGTGGAAAAGATTACAGGACTGGAGGTCACCTCCTGTAAGTTCTCTAGTCCTGGCTTTTCCAAACCTTTGATAACTTGATCTCTTGAAACCTCAACATGTACATTATGTTTAACTATGTAATTAACTAAAAGTTGAAATTAACCTTGCCAGAAGCTTTCTTGCTCTGTTAGTTTGGCCCCCTCCACAGGAATTAAAGGTTGCCTCCTTCTCAGGCCCACAAACCAGAAGCTAGAGTGCAGGGGGAAGAGATTGGGGTGTGTCCAGGATGGGCCACACTGCCCCTAACTTCTCCTCCCCTCCAGGCCTGAAGACCGGCGGTGGTACATCAGGTGGCTCCAGTGGCTCCTTTCACTACACCTTTCATGGGGACCCTCATGCCACCTTTGCCTCCTTCTTTGGTGGCTCCAACCCCTTCGATATCTTCTTTGCCAGCAGCCGCTCCACTCGGCCCTTCAGTGGCTTTGACCCAGATGACATGGATGTGGATGAAGATGAGGACCCATTTGGTGCCTTTGGCCGCTTTGGCTTCAATGGGCTGAGTAGAGGTCCAAGGCGAGCCCCAGAACCACTGTACCCCCGGCGCAAAGTACAGGACCCACCTGTGGTGCATGAGCTGCGAGTGTCCCTGGAGGAGATCTACCATGGCTCCACCAAGCGCATGAAGATTACAAGGCGGCGCCTCAACCCTGATGGGCGAACTGTGCGCACCGAGGACAAAATTCTGCACATCGTCATCAAGCGTGGCTGGAAGGAAGGCACCAAGATCACCTTCCCCAAAGAGGGCGATGCCACACCTGACAACATCCCTGCCGATATCGTCTTTGTGCTCAAGGACAAGCCCCACGCACACTTTCGCCGGGATGGCACCAATGTGCTCTACAGTGCCCTGATCAGCCTCAAGGAGGTGGGGCCTGCTCAGTGTGTGTGTGTGTGTGTGTGTGTGTGTTACATGTGTGGCATGTGTGTGTTGGGGGGATGACAGAAAGCATTTCTTTCCTCCTTGGCACATTCTTTCCTCATTTCAATGCTTTTCCTCCCTTCCCACTCTGTCCAGCCTTTTCCTTTTCCTCACTCCCTGTCTCATTTTCCCCAGGCACTGTGTGGCTGCACCGTGAACATTCCCACCATTGATGGCCGAGTGATCCCTTTGCCCTGCAATGATGTCATCAAGCCAGGCACCGTGAAGAGACTCCGTGGGGAGGGACTTCCCTTTCCCAAGGTCCCCACTCAGCGAGGAGACCTCATTGTGGAGTTCAAAGTTCGTTTCCCAGACAGATTAACACCACAAACACGACAGATCCTTAAGCAGCACCTACCCTGTTCCTAGGCTCTGCCCCAGCTAGTCCAGAGTCTACCACAGCAATACCCCCCACACTCACCCCATCCAGTGTGCACCCAGCTTGATATCCACTGGACACTGGCAATTTTTTCTGAAATGCAAAAAAAGCCACTGGTTTTCAGGACAATGTTCCTGTCCCTGACCCTTTTCAGAGCTGGGCTGCCTTGGGGAGTGGGAGGGAGGTCGGGGAGAGCTAGCCCAGGCCAGGGGTCAATTTTCATGTCACTAGCTTCAAATCCAGTTTCCACTCCAGTGGCTGGGGAGTGACTTGAGTGCTACTTGAAGATATAGATTCCTTGTCCATGCCTGTAAATAGCATGTCCTCCTTTCCCTCAGCCTTGCTAATACCTTTCCTCTCCCTTCCCTTTGGTTTCCTCCTGTCTGGGGGAGGAAGAGGATAGAAAGGACACTGGTCTCCCACCCCTGTCCCCTGGTCCACGTGTCCAAGGTTATCGCACATATATCCATGCACACAAAGCACTCGTCTAGAGCTGTCTGTACCTCTCTGAAAGATAGGAGAGGCGAGGAGATAGGAAGGGATGGTCTGCAACCCTCGAACAGGGCCACTGAGCACGAGACACTTTCACTGGGGGGAGGGAGATGAACTGACCCTCAGCAGCCTCCCCAGTAGCCGCCCAGCCTACACCTAACAGAGTTGGAGGTTCTGTCTTCCCTGCTGCTCTGAGGAGTGTTTGAGGGTGGAGAAAGGGAAGAAGGGCCTGAGGTATTAAGGCTAAGAGGTGGGGCAGGGCCCTTCTCCCAGCCTTCATCAAGAAGCAAAAGGGCTTTGGGGTCAGGTGGCAGCTATTCCCCAACAAGAGATTCAGGGTCACAGGCTTCTCCCCACACCTCTGAACTCAGGGCCTAGCCACCCCAAACTTCCAAGTCCTACTTTTGTGATATGTGAAACTACTTATTTCTTACCCCTCTTGGAGGCTGTGTGGGGAATTCCAGCCCTAAGCCTGTGTGACCCCACTCCACTCCCACAGTTGTATAAAAGTCAATAGTGAAAGAGCTGGGAGAAGACTGCTTCAGCTGGTCCTGGGGTGGGGTCTTTGGTTTTCTCACTTTGACAAGCCCCTGAATGTTTTTATAGTAGTTTTTTTGTATTTTTTGTAATGACAGTATTATGAAAAATAAAGTATTTTAAAAATATAGCATCTGAGCAGAAGCAATGAACCTGGAGTATAGAAGGTATGGTATCTAGTGCTCCTCTCAACCTCCCTCCAAGACTCTGGTCACCTTTGAGAAACCAAGCAGACCCTCAATTATAAGCAGAAGCTGACTCCCTCCTTCCTCTGAATTCAGACTCCGGAGATTCCAAAACTACCCAGATATAACAAAGACAAAAGACGCCCTTCAGCTATTAGAAGAAACACCATTTGGAAGAAAAAATATCTCTGGTCATGACAGAGACCATCGTCTTCAGAAAATATGTCAATGTGACATCTACTGTAATACATTTTCTTTTCTTAAATTTCTCTTTGAGTTACAGAAATTTACTTCTTAGAAGAAGGTAGAGGTTTTGTTGTTGTTTTTAGCTGACTAGAAGAGATACATCCCCAAAGACCAGGTGTGGGCGGTAGAGAGGGTAACTAGAGGTTGCTGACAACTTTGGCCCAGACCAGCTGGGCCTGAATGAGGACCTGAGCTCCCAGGGAGACATTGGACACAGTTTCCTGGGGATGTCTACCCTGGAATCTGACCTACTTGTCCCTAGTGGGACAACTCTGGAGAAGTGCTTCTGCACCATGACATACCTGTCCTTTCCCTTGGGTATAGCTGGGAAGGAACCCTGGGGTTATAGACTGACTCTACAGCTTCTGACTGGACTTGGATTTCCTCTTGGGACTTTCCTCCAGGCATGAAAGCTGCATCTCCCAGATGAGGCTCTGACAGGCTGTGCTCAGTGTCCCCAGGGCCATGAAGACAGCACTGCCTTCAGCTGGCCTGACCACACAGGTGAACATTGACTGTACTTCACGGTAATCTTCCTGCTTTGCTTCTCATCCCAGGACAGAGACACTAAAAAGTTTCTTGTCCTTATATCTGACATACTTTTTGCAAGAGAGGCTATTCCTGCAAAGGCAGAAATTAGGGAGTCTCACAAGTCTGCTAATCCCCTGGCCTGGGCAGGGAGACCCCAACCCTTCATCCCCTGCTCCATACTCTCCTACTTTGGAGTGTCTAGCCTCTTTTTCACATGGGGCTAAATTGTGAATGCCCTGAGTCTGGCTCTCCAGTTCCATCTGAAACTTGAACTTTCCCCTTCTTAGAGGATGTGCAGGAATTTCTGGTCCTAGAATGTGTTGTGTGGAATTAGTGGAGGGGAGAAAGAGAATATGCATAGAAGTCAAAGTCAAGAGGGTAAAGGAGTTGGGGGAAAGACTGGTTCAGCCCAATCCTGGGGAGTGGGGTCTTCACTGAATTTTCTTACTTTTGACAAGACCCTGAATGTTTTATTGTGTGTGTGTAATTTTGTAGCAACAGAACTCTGACAATCATTCATTTATTTTGTCTGACAATATATTCTCTAAGGCTTACCCATCTTGTTGTCAAGAGACAACCAGCTCTCTTGGTGGGGGTGGACATAGAGGGCATTCCTGGGTCACTAAAGTCCTTTGACCACTCAGAGAGCCATTTAGCTTCGAAACCTCTCCCAGATCATCAGCTGTTAGACATCTTGTGATTGTGGCTGAAGGGCGACAATCTCCTTGGACTTCACTTCCCTCTGCCCCTTTTGGTTCTTAATGGAATCCATAAATCTCCATTATCCTCTTCCTAAAGAGGAAACTCCAAAAAGATGCTCCCCACTGTGATGAGCCCCTCTAGCCCCTCTCCTCTCTGTCCTCTGCCTCTGCTTTAGCTTGTTGGGACACAACTCCATTCTTCTCTCTTGGGTCATGTTCTGCTCTTGTCTGACTTGAAGTGACTCTGGACTGTTTTTCATGTTCCCTATGCAATTTATATATGATAATGGTATCAGGATCCAAGAAGTTTGCACTTTTCCTCTTAAAAGCCCAAGACCAGTATCTCAGGGCCCTCTAGAGACTTTTACTGATAGCTGAGGGACAGGAAAAGGACTATCCAGGATGGGGACTGACTTTTTTAATAAGTTTATCTCCCATCCTGCCCAAAGGTCCCCTTCAAGGAGCTAAGCAACCTTGGTTTGCTCCTGAAACATGAGTGGCTGAGAAAGCTGGACTGAGGCAGGGGCCGTGATTGGGCCTCTATCACCTCAGCTGATGTATGGATTCAAAGACCTTGAAAATGAGGCAGGAAGATGGCCACAAGTTCAAGGCCAGCCCGAGCTACACAGAGAGACCCTGTCTCAACATACCAAAGAAACAAAACAAAACAAAGACCTTGAGAGCTAAGTTCTACCTCTGCCACATTAAAAACTATGCTATCTTGACTTCTAGTGCATGTGTAAGGCCTGAATTAAGGAAAGATAGCTTTTAATTGTTATGTATTTGAAAAGCAAAATAATTACATTTGTCTTAGGGAGTTGGTACACATATATATCTCATCTTGATCATTTTTATTTCCCCTCTCCATCACCCTTCTCTCTTTCCCTTTTCATTTCCATGAAGCCTACCTCCCTGTTTCCTACCATCCCTCTTTTATTTTTCTCTGCAATTATTTGTACTTTGGGTTTCTCATATAGGAGAAACCATGTTATGTTTATCCTCTGTGCCTAATTTATTTCAATTAGTATTATTGTCTCAAGGTCCATCCATTTTCCTATGAATGATTCAAATATATCCTTCTTTATGACTGAGTAGTGCTCCACTGTGTATGCATATCACATTTTCTTGATCCATGGGTCTATTAGTGGGCATATAGGTCACTTCCATAACTTAACTATTCCGAATTATGTTGCTATAAATGTGGGCAAGTGTGTATTGCGGTAATATGTTTGCTTAGCTCTTTTGGGAGGATACCTAGGAAAGGAATAGCTCATTCAAACAGAATTTCTATTTTTAGTTGGTTTTTTTTTTTTTGGTTTGTTTGTTTTTTTGGTGGGGGGTACCAGGCATTGAACTCAGGACCTTGAGCTTGTGAGGCAGGCAGTGACACCACTGAGTTAAATCCCTGGCCCTATTTTTAGTTTTTTGAGGAATCTCTCTCCATATTTATTTCCAAGGTGGTTTATACTATTCACATTCCCATTAACAATATAGAAGAGCCAGGGATTTAGCTCAGTGGTGCCACCACCTGCCTCGCAAGTGGAAGATCCCAAGTTCGATCCCTGGTATCAAACAAACAAATAAAACAATATAGAAGAATTATTTTCCCTACAGTCTTTTTTATTTGTTTGTTTGTTTGTTTGTTTGAGACAGGGTTGCACTGTGTAGTTCAAGCTGCCCTTGAACACACTATGAAATCCAGCCTGGCCTCAAATTCATGGACATGCACTTGCCTCAGCCACCCAAGTGCTGGGATTACAGGCGTGTGCAACCATGCCCAGCAACCCCTACAACCTTGAGTCCTTTCTGATAGCCATTCTGACAGAGGTAAGAGGGAATTTCACTGTTGTTTTGTTTTGCACTCCTCCAATGGCCAATGATGCTGAAGTGTCTGTCTATTCATTTCAATTTCCCATTTTTAAATTAAATATTTTATTTGGGTTTTTTGTTGTTTGTTTGTTTGTTTTGGGGTTTTTTTTGTATTGGGGATGGAACTTGGGTCCTTTCACTTGCAAGGCAGGCAGCAGAACCATTGAGCCAAATCCGTGGCCCTTTTACTTCTTTATATATTCTGGATATTAGTCCTCTGTCCAAGGAGTAGTAGCCAAAAATTTTTTCCTATTCCGTAGGTTGTCTCTGCACTCTGTTGGTTGTTCCTCTTGCTATACGGAAATTTTTGATAAAATCCCATTTGTTGATTCTTGGTATTATTTCTTGTGCAACTGGAGCTCTATTCAGAGAGTCCTTGCCTATGTTTTGTTTTCAGAGTTTTTCCTATTTTATCTTCCAGCAGACTCAGTGTTTCTGTTTTTATACCTAGGTCTTTGGTCCATTTTGACTTGATTCAGTACAAGATGAGAAATATGGCTACAGATTCATTCTTCTGCACCTAGATTACCTATTTTTCCAGCATCATTTGTTAAAGAAGGTATTTTTTTGCCTTGTATGTTTTTGGCCCCTTTGTCACATATCAGATGGATGATGGGGCATGGGGATGTTTTGTATCAATCTATTCCACTGGCAAATATGTCTGTTTTTATGCCTATACCATGCTATTTTTATTACTGTAGTGTACTTTATTACTTTGTAGTACAATGTGAAGTTTGAGATTGTAATGCCTCCTGCTTTGCTCTTTTTATTCAGGAAGGCTTTGGCTATTCTGGGTCTATTATTGTTCCACAAACATTTTCATATTGTTTTTTCTACTGCTGTGAAGAATGCTGTTGGTATTCTGATTAGAATTGCATTAAACGTATATACAGTTTTTTAGTAATATAGCCATTTTTATAATATTGGTTCTGCTCATCCAGGAACTAGGGATATTGTTCCATTTTCTAATGAAAAAAGGACAGTATCTAAGAGGTATTTAGGTAGTATTCCTGATTCACTGGGGGTACTGAAATTCATTTCCAAGGACCTAAAGGACTTAGCAGGGGGAGGCAGTGTATAATTGTGAGCAAGTCATGAACAGTACACATCAGTAAGGCTTCCATTGATCTACCCATCTTTTTGCCCCAGTATACCTTATGGGTGTTTTCCAATTGCTTCTTGTCTCAATTCTCCTTTGAGCACATTTATAAGTC